ATATATATATAATTTTTTTTTATAGGCGACTTTCTGCCAACTCAAGGACACTAAATTGCACTTTAAGCTGAATACTAGTATCTTGAAAAATTATTATACTATGACCTGTTATTGTGGCAAAGATAAAAGAAGTTTTTAAAAATTATTTATTAAAACTGTTATGTTTAGACATTTTTTCTGTTAAACAGAAATTGGGAGGAATATATTCAGAGGGGCTAATAATTCTGACTTAAACTGTATACAATTTTAGATACATATTTCTAAATATATTACATTAAAAATATCATATATATATATAAGAAGTCAAAACTATTAGTAAAATTATGATTAAATTGTTCTCATTTTTCAATTATTTCCCAAGTGCTGTTTCAAGGAGCAAGGACATTTTCACAGTAAATACTATAATACATTTTTTTCTTCTGAATTTTTTTTACTTTGCCTGGAATAACACACTCCATCAGACTCCCTTATAGAGCCCCCTTATAAAGCCAAACTCAAAGTAATCACAATTAAATGAATAGAATAAACAATCATCAAATCAGACTGAATTAACCTCAAACCCTTTTGAATTGATGTTATCTCAATAACACTCCTGAATGCTGTTGGCACTTACCAGGCTGTGCCCGCTGATGATGAGGGCAAACTCTCCACTGATTGACTCCAGTAAGGAGGAGGGCGGAGCCTGAGCAGGGGGACATTTACTTTCATCAGGTGCCCAGTTTGCAGCAGCAGCAGCAGCTCCAGCTCCACATCCATTTCCAAAGGCACAGGCGCCGCTCCACCCCTGAGCTTCAGCTTCCTTCCCTCCATCTCTGGTGCGCGCTGACTCCAGCATCCGCTCTCTCGCTTTTCTGCACATGACAGAACATGAAAAAAAAACATTCATTTTCCAGCCTCTCAAATTTCACGTGCTGATGAAAGGAAAGATCAGCCAAACGTCAGCAATGTACCTCAGTTCCTCACGCACGCTTTGAACAGTGTGTCCATTAACAATGAAGACCTCCGTCATGTCATCTGTCAGCATCTTACAGGAGTAACCAATGTTCACTGCAGTCTCTGTCACAGAGAAATGTATAGACATGGTAAAGTTGCCATTCTGTCAACTAAAACTAAATAAACTGAATGCACTGCTTACCTTGTTTGTCTCCAGTGAGCACCCAGATCTTGATGTTTGCCAGCGAGAGAATGGCAATAGTTTCAGGAACCCCCTCTTGCAGTTTATCTTCAATAGCCGTGGCCCCCAATAACTATAACAAGAATTAAATGGTTTAAATTATATTTATAATATTTTTATATTTAGAATTAAGTATTTTTACTTCAGTATAAGTAACAATTCTCACTATTAACTAGATGCATTTTACTTCACTATTATCAAGACATACATATTCTACATGCCCAGTCCTACCTAATACCTAAACAACAGCTAGTAGTTTAATAACTATCAAGCAGCAAAGAAGCAGCAAATTAAGAGTTTATTGAGGCAAAATAAATACCAAATGTTTCAATAATAGCAAGAATTGTACTTTGAAGGGGACATATTATGCAAAAATAACTTTAATACAGTGTGGCAACAACAGTCTGTGTATATATAACAAGCTCCTAATGATTTTTTTTCTTTCTGACGTTTTCCCTTTTGTACATGTCAGCAGAAGGGGAAAGCCCCAGCCATTTAGTGACCTCTCCCTCATTAGCATATGAAGTTTCATATGAGCATATGGGGCATTTGTACAGTTGCAATCAGAATTATTAACCCCCCTGAGTTATTAGCCACCCCCCCCCCCCAAAATTCTGTTTAATGGAGAGAAGATTTTTTCAACACATTTCTAAACATAAGTTTTAATACCTCATCTCTAATAACTGATTTATTTTATCTTTGTCATGATGACAGTAAATAATATGTTACTAGATATTTATCAAGACACATTTATACAGCTTAAAGTGACATTTAAAGGCTTAACTAGGTTAATTAGGTTAACTAGGCAGGTTATGGTACTTAGGCAAGTTATGTTATAACAATGGTTTGTTCTGTAGACTATTGAAAAAAATTGCTTAAAGGGGCTAATATATTGAATATATTTAAATGTTTTTTTTAATTCAAAACTGCTTTTATTCTAGCCAAAATAAAGCTAATAAGACTTTCTCCAGAAAAAAAAAAAACAAAAATATTATCAAACTGTGAAAATTTCCTTGCTCTGTTAAATATAATTTGGAAAATATTTTAAAAAGAAAAAAAATTAATGGGGGGCTAATAATTCTGACTTCAACTGTAGCTCCGCCCACTTTTAAAATAAGGGTTGTAAGCACAATCTCATTTAAATTTAAAGCAATAGTCACCAAAACAGCACAATTAGGATCAAGGCTCAAAATGGGTGGTTTCAAACATTTATAACTCAAATAATGGTAGGTGAGATCTGGGCTTTACGTGTGTTAGCAACTGTTTCTCTTTAAGCAATCATTGCATATTGTGGACAAAGTAAAACAAATAAACTCAACATTTTTATGTAAAATTGTTAAATTATGTCATTTAAGTATGACAGACTTTAAAAAGTAAATAAGACTTTTTAATACAGATGCAGCTATCTTGGACATCTGTTGTAGTTATAGATGATGTGAGATCAAAATTAGAGAACGACCCACAACTTCTAAAAGTCCTAACAAGAGTAAAAGGTCAGTTTTTAAAGAACAGCTCATGAAAAAAACAAAAAACAAAAACAAATTTAGATTTTAGAAAAATAACAATGATCAAAAATAGAAAATACTTTCACATAAACCATATTTAACTGGCAGCCTAACTTGACAGTTTTCACTTTATGAAACTTTTTGAAATTTTGTTCCTAATCTATGACTTTTATTTTTATCTGTGCTTTAAAAAAAAAAAAAACTACAAGGTTTTCATTGAAGCGCCTTTTGCTTTATATACAAATATATATATATATATATATA